GCACCCATTCTCATATCTGTTTATTTAACAACTGTTTCCTCAGCATGCATTGTGAGGTAGGCTTTGTACTAGACACTGGGGACACCATGGTGAACAAGACGAAGAACTTTGCTGCTCTCACGGAAAGAGAAGAACTGAGAAGAGGTCAGAAAGGGAGCACAGTAGAGCCAAGGGCACAAAGGCCCATTTATAACTTATGTATAATAGTGATACAGGGAAACCTCCAAATGATACAGGGAGAAAAACTGATCTGCCAACCTAAAAGGTACCTGGGATGAGTTTGTGTTCTCTAAAACCGAAGAATGAATTTTAGGAACAAACGGAGGTTATGAGCAGAATATATTTATTGGGGGAAAGAAAGCTCCTGATAGGGACAAGAGGGGAGCAAGAGCAGTTGTCCCCAGAAAGCTGTCTCCTCCAGGGACTTTTATAGAGGAAAACCATGTGGTGAGGCAGGTCTAAGGTGGTGGAGAAGACGTGGGAACTCGCTTAGGTGGGCATGAGGTGGGACAAAACTATGGTCATCCAATGAGATTACAAGCACCATTGCTCAGGTAAAATTGATTAAATCTGGGCCGGGGAGATGGCTCAGTAGAATAAGCATTTGCCTGGCAAGCGCAAGGGCCTGAGTTCAATTCCCGGTTCTGCAAAAAAACTAAATTAAATAAATAAAAAATAGAGTATCAATCCCTGATGCCCATCCCTAGGGAAGTATGTAGCTGTGTTTCCTCTTTGTCTTGGTCATGAGGTGTGGCCCATATGGGAGTGTCTGTCTCTTCCAAGTTGTAAAGTTACCTTGTCTTCCATCTTGTCTCCTTAAGGGCCTGACCCTGTCTGACTGCCTACAGTATTTCTATCTAATTCAGCTGCCTACAACAATAGGAAGCCAGTGGAGGTTTCAAGGAACAGAATGATATGATCTAACTTATGATTTAAAACATACCGAGTGTCCTAGGGGCTGGGGAGATGGCTCAGTAGAATAAGTGCTTCCCTGGCAAGCACAAGGGCCTGAGTTCAATCCCCAGTTCCGCAAAAAAAAAAAAAAAAAAAAAAAATCTGAAATCATTTCCAGGGAGGAGCCCCAGGTGATGATGACTTTAGAGGGAAAAACCCCCGGCCTGTGGTTGGGTGCTGGCACGCTTCTCTCAGTCCTTCTTGGGCCGGGGAGTAGCTCCATAGAATCAGCGCTTGCCTAGCAAGTGCAAGGTCCTGAGTTCAATCCCTGGTACCACTAAAAAAAGAGAGAAGTGACAGTCTTCAGACCTATTTAGAAGGGAGAGCTATCCATGCTTACTATTGGATTGGATTGGGGTGAGTAGGGAAAAAGAAACTCGAAGATTACCCTAGGAGTTATTCCTGAGCAAGTAGCTATGTATAGTGCTGTTATGTGCATGGTAATGTTGTGGACAGGAGCTGGTTTGGAGAAAGAAGAAAGCTGAAGTTCAAAGTTCTGTTTCAAATTCAAGTTTGAAGTGCCTATTAGAAACCCAAATGGAGATGTCTAGTGGACAGCTGAATACATAATTCTAGAGCTCAGGACAGAGGTTGCTTTCAAGACATAAATGGAAGGGTTAGCATAATATATAGAAGAAATCTGAGGAGATCAGATAAAAGTCAAGGAGGAATTCTGGGAGCATGTGTGTAGCCTGCACAAGCCCTGGGTTCAGTTCTTAGCTTGGAAGAGAAAGGGGCAAGTGAGGAGAAAAAGAGAGGGGAGGATGGAGGGTGGTGAGACAGGCTATGGTTGGTGCTTTGTATGTAGAAGCAAGTGAGCTTGCAGTGGAGACTGATGTTTGTGGAAGTAACTCCAGCGGAAAAAAAGATACCATTGAAGCCAAGAGTAAAAAT